CCCCAAAACCCCAAAACCCCAAAACCCCATTCAATTAAGTTGTCATGAATTAAAGCAGTATTGAAATAAGAATAAAATAAAATAGATTAATGGCTGATCAATCCCCAGATCAATAACAACAGCAATAAGAGTTCCAGTAAATGCTTGAATTTGGAAAGGTGCCCTTTTATCTAGAATACGCAAGTGAATATCACTCAAGAATAGTTGAGTAGTTCAACTATCTGAATAAAAACTGCTTTTTGATATCTGAACACCTGAGAAATTTACTAAGTTCAGACCAATATCAAGTTGATGGTTCAAAAGAAACCATAACGTTTGCAACTATGCAGAATGCTGTGATAAGTGTGTCATTGGAAAAAGTGGAATTAAATGACTAAGATAAGGAACAAAATCTGCTTGCTGCCATTGTCAGTGATTTATCACGTAGATTTAGTGGAAGACCTGCCTTACCCTACAATATTGAGAGATTTTAAGAGTTCTCTAGTGCCTCAAATACAATCAATGTTGAGCTGACTAACTTAGGTTACACCGGATTAGATACTTTCGCTTACATTTTGATTCTTGAAAGGCTTTTTTAACTAAGACCAGCTTATGCAGACGAATATCAAAACTATTTTAAGATATAAAAATCAGATAGCATTCTATATAAGTATATTTGCGAAGAAGATGTGTGGTATTCTTATGCAACTCTTAATAACGAGTAAACTATCACACTATCATTCATAGTTCTGACATTTGAAGTCAGAGATCAATTAAAGCCATATCTCGAGTTTCAGGAGGATAACCCTTTAAATGATAATCATTAAAATTAGTCATAAGAAGAATAAATGCCTTGGTATGGTACCAGACGTTATGACATAGTCGACCATGTGCTTTCATAATAAGCAGAGAGAGATAGACTGGCCCAGAGATCAGCTGTTTAAGAGGCAGCATTGAAAGCATAGCAGCCATTCCTAGGAACAAGCATGAAAGATCTAGGTTAAACTTATAGTGGACCCCCTAAGTACCTGAATCAAAGAGACGCCCCTCTTGAAATTCCAATAGAAGTGGTTAAGACATTTTTCATGGCAGTTGACTAGGATATGGATGAGCGAGTTTCAATAGAAGAACTCCAGAATTACGCTAAGAAGAGATATTTGCCTTTTGAAGATAACACTATAGTTGAAATGTTTAGAGAAGCTTCTCAAGGTAGAGGTATCATTCATGAGCACTAGAGATATGCTCCACTTACTCTTGATGAAATAGCTGCAGCTGTGAGAGGCAGACATAGATGGAATCCAAGAGACAAAGTATGGGAAGTGAACTACAGACCATGCAGAGACTATTGGATCATCTTGCTCTAGACTGTAAATGAAAGACTCTTTGCTATTCCCATGCCTAAAGTAGTTCCAACAAAGATACTAGCTTAGTTTGAGGAAGAAGATCTTAAGAAAACTATGACAATGACAAGAAAAGAAGGAGTTGACAAAAAATACTTGTCAATCAAAGAATAAAAACAGCCTATTTTCTAGAAGGATTCACAAAAGACTGAAGCTGGTATTACCCCTGAGTTATTGAATGGCACAATTAAGTTTAATGATAAAAAACAGAAGAAAAAGGACCAAAATCCTTATGAGCAGTAGATCAATGCAAGACTGTAAAAGTAAGACAGTGCTCCAAATAACTATCCTAAAATATCCTTTGAATCAAAAGAATTCTTCAATCAAGCTAAGCTGCTCTCATCAGTTATTCCACACTGGAATAACGATAAAGAAAATCCTATATATCAGTATGTGCCAACCACTGAGAGACCTTTCACTAACGATTCAGATACTCTATTCAATACTTAGCTGCAATAAAAATTAATGTACCAGTCAATGAGAGAGTAAAAACTTCATGAACTATAAACTAAAGAAAGGACTCTATAACTGGCAGGGACTATGGCTTTAAATACTCGAAAAACATCTCCCTGGAAAGTGATGAAAGAGAGGTAAGGATTTGTTACAAAGTTCAAAGTACCCACAATACTGGATTAGAAAACAGATGCAGCCTTCGTCGGCAAAAATACATTTGATGAAAGAGGCAAATTAGTAGGACCTACTTAGGATCCATATAATCCACCAAGCGATCATAAATTCAGAGATCTCGAAATAAACAGAGGGCAAAAGGATTTCACCCTCAGATACAAATGTCCTGATGCTTATAACAAGTATGGCATGAGTGAACATGATACAAGGCCTAAAGAAGTAATTGAAAGATAAAGAAGAGCTGAAGAAACAGAGAAGCATAGAAGAAAGCTTGAGTACGAGTCAATATTAAAGGGCAGACCACTTGAAAAGAAGAAGCCTTGGCTCTTATATCATAAATTGCCAGACAAGTTAACTCCTGTATCTCATCAATTCAAAGATCCTCATTCTGACTTTGATAAGGAAAAGAACCCCTTCTTGGATAAAGAGGAGTTCACTCCAGCCTATCTATAGCTTGCCAGATAAATGAAGGATGATGTGGTCTTTGGAAAGCCTAACTTCAACCTTTACTTCAAAGCAATGCATCCATCAGATTTGAATGAAGAGTTTGGTGGAACCAAAACTAAACCATTCAAGTGCATTTACTGATTAATTGTCAAGCCTTAATTATATTTAAGTTAGTTTAATCATTAGGCTATTATTAGTATATCTGACTATGGGGTTTTGGGGTTTTGGGGTTTTGGGGTTTTGGGG